TCTTGTTGGACTGAGACTTAACCTGAAAGAAAAGAAACATCTTAAAGGTGAAACCTGTGGGATCTGTGCTAACTCCGGGTAGTATAAGAATCGAGCTAAACTGCAGGACACCCAGTTGGTGTCCACAAAGAAATGGAGAAATTTTTGGTGTCAGAAGTGGTGTGAGAATAGAATAACAGACATTTTTCCACTTACAAGGTGATTCCTAGTTTTCTGGAATGACAAGCCAGGTGGATGATAATACTTTTTACTCAGATGGGGAAAAGTAAAGACCAGATTTGTGGTAGGAATGGGAAAACAAAAGTTTGGTTTAGAACATGTTTAAGAAAAGATGTCTACATTAGCTATATAATAGTGGAACTCATAGCAAGATTCAGGTAGGGCTATAAATTTGACAGCCTTTACCCAGTAGGTAGAATTTGAAGCCATGGAAATAGATGAGGTTGCCCAGAGAGACACTGTAGAGTGAGAAGATGGCCTAGGACTGAGTCCTGAAGAACTCCCAGTTTCTAAAGGTCATGTGCGTGAAGACGAGCCAAAAGAGGACAGGCAAGAAAGGTGGTAAGAAAATAAGCAGAGCATGACATGAAAGAGTGAAAAAGAGATGGTTTCAAGGTGGGAAAGATCTATCGTTAAGAAAGTTGATGAGCAATAAAGAAAAACTAAGGGAAAAGTATTTATTAAGACTTCAACATGAATTTAAGGGGAGTGGTGAGGATGAAACGCTGAAGAGAATAGGCTAAGGACAGAGCCCTTAGAAGTTACTTATGAAGGGGAGACCAGATAAGGCAAATCTGGAACAGGTTAGTAGGTCCAGGAATTTCTTTAAAGAAAGGAAATAGACCATAAAAAGGCCTGAAGCAAAAGTGACCTAATGGATGCTATGCTGAGAAACTAACCCTCCTATTCATTGTTAATTACACTTAAATTCTTAGTAATCATTCAGGAATTTGTTGGTATACTATCTGCCCCCACCCCTAGCCCCTGCCCCTTACTAACACCTGCTGAGCAAGCAGACATGAAGGCTTTGCTTGGGAATAGTCAGATAGAAGTAGTAAAGTGAGGAAAGAATAAAACCTCTGTGAGAATAAAAAAAAGGGCTCTGGTGTCAAGAGGAATGGGGAAACTCTGGGGACCTGTGAAGAGACACCTCTACAGGGAGCATACCACATTGTCTCCTGTTTTATGTAAAGTCTCTTAGTCCACTTGGACTGATATAACAAATTACCAGAAACTGGGTGGCTTATAAACAACAAACATTTATTTTTCACAGTTCTGGAGGCTGGGCTCTGGCAGATTCAGTTTCTGGCGAGGGCATCTTCTTAAAGTAACTTTGGGACCTCCCTGGGGTCTTTTTTATAAAGACACTAATCCCATTCATGAGGGCTCTGCCCTAATAACCTAATCACCTCCCAAAGGCCCCACCTCCTAATACCATCATTTTGAGGTTTAGGATTGTAGTGGGGAACCCTGAACATTTTTGTTATACCTGCCCCCTTCAGCTGGAGAAACTGTTTTAGAGATTTTATGCTTGACTGACTTGGTGGCAAGCTCTGGCTCCTGCAGCGTATCCAGCCTGGTTCCTGCACCTGCCCTCTTTGAGATAAAAGCAGTCTCATATCCCCCAAGGGCCAGAGGCAAATTAGGCTCCTGAAGTGACCAACGGACTGTGTCCCACAACCAGCCAATCCAAATTAGCAGGACAGCATCACTCATTTACATAAGAGGACCTGAATGGGAACCTGGGGGGGGGGAGGGCGAGAATTTAGGCTATATAAGGGGGTCTTTTCCTTTGTTCTGGGAGACACTGGAATAGGAGTTTTTGCTCCCCAGTGCTCTCCTTGCTTGCAAGCAAAAAGAGGCACTGTAACACTGAAAAAAGAGCTGCAACACTAAAATAAAGAGCTATAAAACTGCAACACTGTTGACGGTCTTGGATTCCTCTGAGCGTTAGCCCAACAGGATTTCAACATATGAATTTTGGGAGAACATAAACATTCAGTCCATTGCACTTTCCCTAGGTTCCCTCATCAATACAGAAACCTAACCCCCAACATTTTTTCTGTAAGGCTCTTTTTTTTTTGTCTTTTTTTCGTGACCGGTAACGGATTGCAACCCTCAGTGTCGCGCCCGTACCGGACCGGGACCGGCAACGGGATCGCAACCCTCGGTGTTGCACCCGCACCTCGCTCAGCCAGTGAGCAGCCGGTCTGTATGTGGGATCCGAACCCTCGGCGGGAGCGCCGCTGCACTCCCAAGCAGCGCACTGTAGCAGTGCGCCACTGGGCCGGCCCTAGGCTCTTTCCATTAAACACATCACCAACCAATTCTGAGATAGTCATGCACCAAGAGGTTTGAGTGATACAAAGAATTCCAGTTAAGTACGAGAGGCTCAAGGAATAGGGGAGAATGGACATAACAAATGAAATGAGATTCTAGAAAAAGCAGAGAGGATTGGATTCAGCATTCACAAGGAAGGACTTGTTTTCTAATACAAGAGGAGAGGACGGATATGGTGAAAAATATGTTTGTGGATATAGTGGATATGTGGATCTGGAAGTGAAGGAATGCCTGACTTTTTTGTTTGAATCACAAAATAAGATCTACCATTAACTAAAGAAAGGAGCGGGTAGGTTAAAAGAAGAAAGTGGAAGGAAGTATTTCACTGTTTTTCACAGTGAGTCAGCTGACAAAACAAATGAATGAAGATTACTAGGTAGGCAGAATCAGAGATCATGAATAATAGTGCTACCAACCTGTTTGGTTTTGTGTGTTTCTGGTCAGGGATCCACCAAACCTTTCCTAATCCTTTCAGCTGCATTTAATTCTTTCTTTATTTGAACCTCTAAGTCCTTATCCAAATCTCAAATCCTACTTTTTATTACAATCCTGTTTTATATTGTTTATTTCCCTACTAAAATAAAAAATCTCAATGTATACAATGGCTTATTCATTTTTGTATCCCTGAAAATACCTACCACAGTTCTTTGCATTATGTATTATATATTTTGCATTTAATTATTATACATATTATATAAAATGGCTCATTAAAAAATTTAGTACTTCCAAGATCAAGACTCCACACATAATATAATCAAGAAAGACCCAGAAATTAAACTACAAGACAACTTAGAGCCACAGTCAACAAATTTATTTCTACTAAAATAAGTCTACCCCTATCATGAAAAGCAGATATTTTTATCATCCTCCTGCCTCAGACACTAAAGAATGATGACCCAGAAACAAATCCCACAGCATGAGAATATGAAAATCAATACTGAGTAAACATCATCATCATCTAAAAGACATATCACATACAGTGATTTAGCTCAGCATGGAATCAGATGTCAATCAGTTCTGAATGTCTCATAGTATCTGAGAAGATGACATACAGATCTAGATATCTACTGCCATTATCAAAGTCCTATGGGTTAATATAGTTATTGACTGCAATCTTTGCTTTTAGAGATCAGATTTTTTTATAGATGAAAAAATTTAAAAAATCAATAAATACCAAGTTTAAAAAAAATCCTACTAAGAAATTACTAAAAATGTAGGCAAGATTCATCTCCAGACAGTTTGTCACACACAAAATAAAATCCAATTTTGGAGGGCTACATGAACTCTATTAATATCTTTTTAAATCTGAAATCTATATTTCAAAATAGACATGGTACTTTATACGGGCCCATTTTTCATAATTCTTTCAACTTGTTTCAGACAAAACTTCTACTAAGAAATTACTAAAAATGTAGGCAAGATTCATCTCCAGACAGTTTGTCACACACAAAATAAAATCCAGTTTTGGAGGGCTACATGAACTCTATTAATATCTTTTTAAATCTGAAATCTATATTTCAAAACAGACATGGTACTTTATACGGGCCCATTTTTCATAATTCTTTCAACTTGTTTCAGACAAAACTGCATTTGAAATTTAATTATTAACAAGAATTAGCTTATGCATCAAGAGAACATTAGCAAGTATCCTCATAACTAGCATAGGCACAGACACTTTATCTAGTAGTTTCCTCAGAACACTCTACCAAACACCAAAAGAAAATGTACATATATTTATGAAATGTCCATTATTGCCATGATATGAATAGTTGAAATATATTGCAAATTTCCAAAATCCTTGATTGAACAAATAATGGAAATTTTTGCAGGGAACTACGGTTTACACCTGACTGCTGAGTACGTTAGTATCAGAGAAATTCACATAACTATATTCAAACAGAACTTCTGCTTAGGTTATTTTCAGACCACAATTCCATATGTTCAAAATCCCACTGGTTCCTTCTTAACAGTCTGATAAGAGCTAAAACTGATATACTTTGGTGGTCATTTCTCTAGGAGTTCTGCTTAAAAAATCATGTAAAACCAAATGAAAGGTGAAAGTGATGTTATATTTTGATATAAACTGCAGCTATTTCATTGTATTAAACTGAAAGTTATAAAAATTTTAATCCCTGTTAGAGATTAGCGCTATGCAAACAATCAGCTATCAATGTGTACCCTTCCGTGGTTTCCTCTGGCTACCCAGCATCATTTTGGTTCCCTTCTCCTGATTATAAGTGGATAAAGGTCAAGAAGTGCCTAAGTAAATACAAAGAGAAATGATTTTTGCACAGTATTTTACTTTTTATTACCAGCTGTTAATGTTTTTCTCACAATATGAGTACCTATTAACAAAAGAGTATGTTTCTACTTATATTCCCACATAAAGCTTCAACAAAACCACCAGCATATCAGCTGAATTCAGTACTACTTCACCTGAAAAGGTTTAAGTAAACACTAATTAAAACATCTGGGAACTTAGTTGTATCAATACTTCTCTACCCTGAAAGGTGTTTTAAATGAAAACATTTTCTTTTTATGTTTTATTTACCTAGGATTCCAAGAAACCAAGAAATCACAGCTTTCTCTCAAATTACACATTATACACATATTGTAAAAATATTTAAAATTAAATAAAATAATTAGAAATTGAATTAAATACGTGACTACCTACGAGGGTACTTCAAAAAGTTCATAGAAAGATTTGCATTATGTTTTAATTCTATTTTGCCCCAAACTTTTCGATGTACCCTCACATATTAAATTTAGGAATTGAAAGCATTAATGGAACACAGAAAATCGCTAAAATAAAATTGTTTTCTAAAACAATAAAGAATGTTACGTAATTATCTAAAACCAATAAATACACTAACTTCTTTGGTAGCTATTAAAATAGTTGCATTTGCATAGGATTTTTAGGGCAATGAAACTACTATATATGATATTGTAACAATGGATAAATGTTGTTATACATTTGTCAAAACCCATAGAATGTACAACACCAAGAGGGAACCCTAAAGTAAACTATAGACTTTGGATAAAAATGATGTGTCAATTTAGGTTCATCAATTTTAACAAATGTACCATCAGTACAGTATGCTGATAGTGCGGGAGCCTGTGTGGGGGAATATACCCCCGTATACTGAGTTCTAATAAGAACCTGAAAGAATACTACAATAGAAAATATTTATTTGCTACAGAGTGTTATCAGGTATAGTTATGAAAACATGAAAAAATACTCTAACATTATGAATTATTTATCAAGTAATTTATATTTAAAAAACTAAAAATAAGAAATTATCATTAAATAAATTTGCTACTTAAGCTCATTTAATTCTGCTAGTTAGGATGAACCATATGGATGACACTCTTATTTCAATGCCAAATAAAACAAAGAGTAAAATATTTGAAGGAGGAAAACAGCAAAATGTACATATTCTGGGTAACCAATTAAACTTCAACTTTCTCGTATTTTCATTTATTCTTCCCAAAACGTAGTTTTCTATTTCTGAAGTTTCTTGGATATAAATAACTTACAAAGTGGCAATGTGATGCCTTATGGGTAAGAAATTATAAACATAGGACACAAACTTTCCCCAAATACAGAAAATAGTTGAATTGGTTCAATTCGTTTTTGCTGAGAGAAAATATTTAGCAAGAGGTAAACAGTGGAGCCAAGATCTAATCAATAATAACTAGCACTGAAATAGTGGTAAAGTCTTCTAAATGTCTAATAGTACTAACAGAGACTTGATATACTAGATTTTAATATCTAGGTAAAGTTTAAAAACACAAGCAAAAACATAATATAGAAATAACTAACTATGGTTGATATTCTCATAGATATTATAATTCATTTGGTTGCCTAATAATACTACACTTTTATTTCATTGTCTGTTTTGGCGCTGGTTTAAAACACTTCCGTCACTTGGATATCTGATAAAATTCATTACATTTTTTATCGTTTTAGTCTTCTCTTGGATCCACTATATATTATAATTACGGCAGCCTTAAACAAACAAATGTACTGATTTGTCTTTTCTCACTGGTAGCAAATTGATATCATAAATCTTCTAAAAGAATGTAAAGTTCTTTTGCCAAATTAATGTGTGATGTCTTCAAGATGGATTTAATTTGTGCCACTTGATAACAACCTTTTCTGGATTTGTAACTGTCTCTTTCCATTGATTCGCTGCTTCAATGTTATTACTGTTTTCACTTATCCAAATCTGTAAAGGAACAGTATAATCGTTTAACTTGACAAAACAATGATAACCGAGTTCAAACAGTGAAATACTCTTATTAATGAAGACATTTGGAAGGCTGTTACATATTTCCAATTAAACACCTTCCCATTTTTCCAAAAGTAAGCCTGATTTCTCTATTTGATGCTTAAATATTAAAACATTTAATGTGTTTAGTCATTCTAAGGACTTTTATATCATCCAATTCCATTTAAAAATTCAAGGTGAGATATTACAAAATTATCGTCATTCTAAAGACTTTTATATCATCCAATTCCATTTAAAAATTCAAGGTGAGATATTACAAAATTATTTTCCCCAAAACAGTTATCAGTACCCTTTCTTATTCAGTAAATCTAGGAGCTCAACTTAAAATTGATCAGTCATTCTAAGGACTTTTATATCATCCAATTCCATTTAAAAATTCAAGGTGAGATATTACAAAATTATTTTCCTCAAAACAGTTATCAGTACCCTTTCTTATTCAGTAAATCTAGGAGCTCAACTTAAAATTGATCCCAGCCACTCAAAAACATTTTTGTAAAGGTTAACTAAACTGAGGCTAATCATGATTAAAATTAGATTGGTAAGTAATGTTTATTTTTAAGCACCTTTTACATTAAATAAAACTAATCTTAATTAAAATCTAATAGTCATTCTTGATTCATAGTAGGTAAGTTCATAGTACCTATCACATATAACTTTAGATAATATATGTCAATGAACTTTAGATAATATATGTCAATGAACATTTTAAATTAATATTTCAGGTAAAAAATAAAAAGAAGTGAGTCGGGGCTGACATCAACCTTTGAAAAATCATATGTAATTTGAGGATTTCATGTAGACTATTTAATAACATTATGCTGTCAAGTGGAAACTTTAAAACCAATAATACAGATTTTGGAATTTAAATGTGGCTCAAATAATTGTAATTAAGATAAAAAAAATAATAGACAGCCACCACTAATTCACTCAGAATAAGGAAAGAAATTACAAAAAGAAACAAATTCCTATAGGACTGGTAAGTAAGCCAGTGTTATATTGTCTTATACAAACTACTGAAAATTTTTAAATAGATTAATCCAGACACCAGATTTCACTATCAAAATAATATCACAACCACTGTTAAAATTGATGTTTTCTAGGAATTCAAATCTAACATAACTCAGTTAATAGCATACAAAAAGTGCCCATGAAACTGAAGATTAAATAGAATAAATTTGATATCTAAAGCTTTAAGAAATTTCATTTAAATACTTAGTGTTCCCTCATTCCACAAGGAATGAGTCAGTAGTACTGAAAAACTGATTTTTCTTACAATTTTTAAAGTTGAAAAGTTCAGAGAAAGTCTTATTTAAACAGAAGCCTGATTGCTCACAAATTCCAACTATTTGTATTAAAGCAAAAAGTCTGATAAGATTTTATCTCTGTGGCAACACTGATTTTTAATTTACAATGCTGAAGGATTTTACTCTATTCAACTTCAATTTTATTCTGCATTCCCTTTGTTAACCAATTGTTAAATGCACTGAAAATTATAAGGAAAGAATTCAAGACAAAAACTCCCTACTAACCTGGCCCACAAAGTGTTTTCTTCTTACAGAGCTTCGACTGTAAAGCTTAATGAGAAAAACAATTTCTTTCTCATTCTGTATAAGTGGAAAAATCATAGTCTCTCCCCACTTAACTCTTCCACTAGAGGCCTTCAGTAAGCGTGTCTTCTTCTTATAAATCAATTCTCCTGAGCTAAACATTGCAGCCTTTACAAAAAAACCTTAAAAAAAAGAAATTGTGATTTATAAAATTTTATTTAAAAACCATATAAAGATATATATCTATATACTAATTTTATTGTAAAAATATAAGTATGCCACTTTTAAAGGCTTGATGAGCTAGTACTATAACAGAAAACATCTCTAGTCAACTTTATAACTTTTACCACACCTTACAAGTAACCACTGCAACCTCAAATGAATTTAATCTTCTTCTGACCTGAATACCATTGGAGGCTTGAATTGTAGGCATAAATAACAATCAGCAGCAAAGGAGTCCACACTGAAAAGGATTACACAAAAGAGAGGCACCGACTCTTTGGACAGCTGGAGGTATTTATTTTACAATTTTACAGAGGTAAAATTCTTTGCTTGAGATGCCAGAAGTTAAGCATATGCCCACTAGAGAAAATCTATTTAAATAAAGTTGAGATGCAGAGCTTCCAGTAACAGAATAGCTTATATGAACTAACCTTCCCATAGATAACAATGATAAACTTTGGGAAAAATATAAAAAACATTAAAGACTGACCAAAAAAATTTGACCAGGAAAAAATTTGAGGGTAGTCCACTCTTAAAAGACGGGGACTACACTGGGTGAAATTCAGGTTTATACAGCTTTTCACCTAAGCATTCTCCCCAGACTGACTGACAAAGGATGTCTACAGTTCAAGCAGAAAGTGCAGTCTGACTAATTTGAGGAGTCAGGTGATAGAGCTGGGGCTGCCAGGGCAGCAAGAAAGTAAGGAGGGAACTCCCAGAAAGGAGGGAGACACAAAGTGAAGAATGAGACCTAACCCATTAGATTTATAAAATAGAGATCATTGATAATCCTGATTAGCATTTGATTAAGGGAAGTCATCTGTGAATGTAATAAGTTACATTTATTTACAACAGTACAATCTGTACATTTCTACTGATGTCCTTTCTTCCTAGAATTAATAATTATATGTGTAGTCGTCCTAGTGATTTATTCCAAGTTGAGTTTTATTTGCTTATTTTTATTTTAGGATTTTTCCACCTATCTACATAAGTGATATTAGTCTATAGTTACTTTTTTGGTGTGCTATCCATTCTATTTTGATATCAAGAATAAACTAACCTCACAAAATTATTGTTCCATCTTTTTTTAATGCTTTGGAACAGCTTTATATAGAATAGGAATTATATGTTACTTGCAAGTTTCGTAGAATCTGCCAGTAAAATTATTTTTAGCTTAGTGCTCTTCTTAGAGTCAGTTCTATAAATACTTTTTCATGGTTATTCTTTTCTTCAGATTTTCTTCCTATTCTTGACTGTATTTCCTAGAAAATCATTTATTTCGTATAGATGTCAAATGAATTGGTATAGTCACACATGGTACTGTAGTCTTATATACATATTATCAAATCTCTTCTGAATTTGAAATTATATCCTCTTCCTTGTTCGAAAATATAATTCATGTTTTCCTGTTTTTATTTTTGTTTTTTGTGCTTGATCTAACCTGCTATATTTGACTATTTTAATGATCCTTCCAAAGAAAAAACTTTTGGTTTTACTGATTATGTCTTTCACTGTTGTCTCCATATTTATCAACTTAACCTTCAGCTTTAATACCTTACTTCTACTTTCCTTCAGCGTGTTGTTTTTCTAGCATTTTGAATTGAATACTCAGTTTCACTTATTTTTAGTCTTTCCAGTTACAACAGACATCCATTGCTTTTGCCTGCCCCCAGATAGTTCCCTTCTTTCAGTAGGAAAAAGCAGTACTCCTACCCCACTCTTTGCCATTACGGTAAAACTGACCTCAAACTTCCAGCTCTAAGGGTGGCTAAGTGAACCAGGTCTAGATAACCAAAGTATTACAACCTCAAGTTGTGCTCAAAAGCACAAGGAAGGAAACATGTTTCTAGGTTTGTTTTTTATATTTTGGGTGTTTTAAACTTCAGTTTCTAGTTAGCAAAGCAACCAACAAAGGGCAGACTTAGAGAGAGGATAAATTATTTAGACTGGTGAAACATATCTGATATTTGAAAGTCCTCTGGACACTCGATCTGTGTGAACTGATGAATAAAAAATAGCATCAAATGCAGAGAGGTCACAATTGGTTAAGAATCAAGAGACCAGCTGATTAAGGTAGACACAATGGCTAAAATGTGAAATCTGATAAAATAATTTTAAGTTAAAAGTAAATAGATAAGTTAAATAATAAAAGTAACTCAAATTTTAGTCTACACTGTAAGAAATGTAAGAAAAAAGCTTCTATCACTAATACTTTCTGACTCCACTTTGAACCACTGATATACTTACTCAAAGTCAGAGGTGTTGATGAGCTTGGAAGGTACTGTGCCTCAAGAATTTGTAACTGAATCCTGCTATTTACTGCTTGAAAACAAGTCCCCAGTTCCAGCTCTGCATGGCAAACCTGCATATCAAAAACGTGTCATTTGGTAATTAAGAATAAAGTTTTGGGATATTTGAAAAATTCAAAGATAAAGAATTAAGGTTAGAAATTTTCAAAGCATTGCTTTCTATCGACACTCAAAGCCACAAGTTATAAGAGAAGGTTAAGAAGATAAATGTCATGGATTCTGTAAATATAAGGTACTCACTTCCACGGATTTTGAAAATACAAGTTATACCTGTATATTGAACCTTTAAAATCAGTGACACCAAAAGATAATTCAAATTAAAAATAGATTACATTCCTAAGCAGTATTGTCAGAGAAAATGCCCAGTGAAATTGACACAAAAGGAACACACTTTCAGAAGAATTAAAAGTAGCCAACTGAATTATTTTTTAAGAATATATGAAACATGATGAAAAATGTTATATATAAGAATCACTATTTTTTTTCTAATTATAGAAATCAGAAGAATTTTGAATAGGTGCTACCAAAATCAGAAGACAAAGCATTACTACAATAAACAGATTTGTGGATTAAGAGTTGAATTACTGTGCTGAATGGAAGCAAGCCAAAGAAAGTTGGCAAGAAGGAGGCTAGTTAAGTGATGAGGCAGTAAAGAAAAAGGAAAAGGTCAAAGAGAACCTGAGGCAAGCAGTAAAATGAAAGAGACTTACAGAGGGGGAGAAATTAAAATGTGCTCTTTAGTACTGCGGACCAACAGCAGTAGAAAGTTGGTAATTTGTCTGTGAAATACAACACAAGCCAGCCTACTTATGTGAATTCCAAGGTCCTTGGAGTAAAATATAAAAGAGAGAAACATAAAGTTGTCCAAACACAAAAACATTACTGTTCACATATTGAAAAGAAAAATGGGAATAAAGCAAGAATATAATGTTTACAGAGCCTAACTAGGGCTCAGCATAGACACACACACAAGTCTTTGCTCGTACTAATTCCAAAACGTTACAGAACAGCTAAATGACACTGTATGAAAAGGTTTATGTTTGATAATTGCCCCCAGTATTCCCCAATAATTGGTTCACAGCTCATTGAAAAATGGAAATAAAAACAAAAAAATCCCCACTACTTTTTATATACAAGCCATGACTGGAGCTTGGGCATTTTCTTAAAACATGATTCTGTGTTTTAAAATTGGTCATGCCATAAGAAATTAGGAGACGGACAATGAAAAGTGAATTGCTTAAAAAGTATAAACCCAACTGTTGAGGTTAATTTCCCCCTTGAAAAAGTCTAAAATGATAATAAAACTTATTTGGCAAGAAATGCTAACTTCTAATATAAGTAAATTTATTGCTTTTAATTTTAATCAGAATGAGAATGGATTAATAACTCTTTTCACATAAACTAATTTGGTAGTCATATATAAAATAAAACTTTTGCTGATTTTTAAAAAAAGTTGCTATCCTTGCATTTAAAAAAAAAACTTTGATAAACACAGTTATTGTTTATAAAACGCAAAGGATACCATGATTAAAATATTTTCATTAATTTTTTTTATTATAGTTTTGTACCTACAATGAAATAACACTTATGAAAACACCTAAAGTTGACATAACTTCCCTTATTGTGACACAATTGTAGAGTTCACTCTCATAAAATAGAGCAGCATTTGGCAATGGGTTTAACCATTTCTTACAAGCCAAGGTTATTTCACAAATTCAATTTATATTCCCGGACATTAATTCAGACCATGAAAAAGTATTCAAAGTGGTTTTCAATCTCATAATAACCAAAATATTAAAACTCCAATCAATTGGCAGGTATGTATTGACTGTATTTAACCAGCACAAAACTGTGGAAGATATAAGACCTCTGCTCCTGAACAAGTAAGTGTATCACTTTTTAAAGAAAAGAAAACTTTATTAGCCTTCCTGGAATGTTGAAAATGAAAAATTAAACATAATTAGAGAAAACTGGTGATATTTGAGAATATCTTCTTGGGGCAATATATGGTAGAGTTAATAGAGCTGGTTCTGGAATCAGAATGCCTCTGTTCAAATCCTGACTGCCCAACTATTGACTGTAGGAACTCAGGCAAGTGCATCAAAATCTGATCGCCACAATAGGGATAACAAGAGATCAGGTTCATGAGTTAGGTGTGAACATTAGATCACTTAGCATTGAACCAGCCGTAAGGTAAATTTTTATAAATGTCAGCTATTTCTTCAGGCAAACCTTGTCTCTTCCACATCATCCAACACAGAAATTTCAGATTTCAAGTAAATACTTATATTACTATTAGTCAAGGTCAAGAACTCTTTATTGAGAAAAATATTAGCTGTACACAAAAATTGTGCCATTCATGTTGAAATAGTTATCAGTGTGGATGGGTATGTAAATCTGGCTCTTTCAATGTCACAATTAGAATATCTATTTTCCTCTCCAACACAGAAAATAAACATACTATTTTTGCTTTAACCAATAAGATGAAACATTCACACTTAGTAACATGAATTCACCAATCCAATATAGACCAAATACTCCTCTTCAGGGCATCAATGTTTGTATTCCTAGCACCTGACATACAGCACATATATAAATGTTTGTAAGACCTCTGATATATTAGATATAATTTAGTATAAATTTAGCCATAATTGTTCATTCAGATTCTCCAAGGCAGATAAAATAATAATGTTTCAATTCCCCCAAAAATGCCTTCATTGAGTTCTCTTCTGATGTACTCTACCTTTAAAGTTTTAATATATATACTATCCATTTGAATAGTATATTTGCACCTTCTGTTAAATATGGTTGCAGATTACCGTCTACTAAGCTACAGTCAAAGATGCCAGTGATAAACTCCTGTCACAGTTACAGAACAAATTTGCCATATTTTAATAGAACAACAATCTAGTTTGGCATGCTTTCATTCACCATTTATTCTTTCCTACCTACCTACATATATACAATTATCCAGTGCCAATAATATGACAGGCAGGCCCTGACTAAAAACACAGCAAGAGGGCCGGCCCCGTGGCGCACTCGCGGGTTTGGATCCTATATAGGGATGGCCGGTGCACTCACTGGCTGAGCGCAGTGCGGGTGACACCAAGCCAAGGGTCACAAAAAAAGACAAAAAAAAAAAAAAAAAAACACAGCAAGATATGAAAAAAACAGATGGAAGCTTGAGCCTAGTTTTATTTTGTTTAAAACAAGTAACTTACATAATCATAAGCTGTAATAAACACTATAAAGACACATTCAGGGTTGAGACAGAGAAAAAAAGGCAAGAAATAACTATCGAAAAATTTGAATTCTTCTGATTAATTATAGCGATCCTTTGTTTTTTATTTTTTAATCCCTAATTTCCCCTCCAATTCAGTGGTTCTTAAATTAGACACAGGAGAGCTTTTGAAAAATACTAAAGCTTCTGCCCCACCCCTCAAGAAATTCTAATTTTCCTGGTTTTAGGTATGGGCATTTATTAAAGCTCTCAGGTGATGCTCATGTGTAGCCAGGGTTAAGAAGCACTCCAAGTCACCCTAATTATTTTTATAAGTAGGTAAAATATAAATCCTATAGAAAGTTAAAACCACATACAGGTTTGATCTTAGAAAAGCTTATGACTGATTTCTATAAATGTTATCCTGACATAGAAATTATATAACTAAATTATTAGGAATTTCTAAGCAATTTAAAGACAGTGTTCAGCTGGCTCATTGAAAGAAGCAAATATCAGGTCTCAAAAATCAATCAGCATTATAGGTAATCAAGTTTTTTACAAAAAAACTTAGCTGTAAAAACCTCCATCCTAACCAATTTATGAGCAGATCTATAGCTTACTCATTATTAAAACAAATTTCCAACCTATTTCAGGCAATCTCTCACTGAGTTTGGAGTTTGTGATTCTTTCCTGTTTTTCCTGTCACCAGCTACTAAAAACACTAAAAATAAAATTAACAATTTTAAATTATTTCCCCTTAAGTATGAAATATTAACAGAAAATGTGCTAGGAGAAAGAAACTCTGAGGTTATTTTCTGATGGAGAAAGAAAAAGTCTGTTAACCTTTTATCAATTATTTCTAAAATATTATTTTTAAATGACATTATTATTAGTATTACTTCTTGAGAGCCTTCCTGATCATCTAATATTCTATAGTGCCGAAGTTATCACCTAACAAACAAAACCCCATCCTCTAAATAATTCTAAAATTATGAAATACTTTTAACACTGCATATTATTATCACTTACAGAAATTTTTGAAGGTGGTATTATATCCAAAGAGTAATCCATTTCTTGTGTGCTAAGAGTTCTGAGCGATAGTGAGCATTCTCCATTCTACCTTCTCCCTGAGTGGCAGGTTAGCTCACTTGGTTAGAGTGTGGTATTACAACACCAAGGTCAAGGGTTCAGATCCCCATACTGGCCAGCCACCAAAAATAAACCCAAAACACAAACAAAAAAATAAATAATGTTCTACTTTCCCTCATAAGCACCCACTTCAGGCAGGAAGTCAGTGTTTTCCATGCTCAGAATATTTTTAAATGTTCTTTTTGTTACTTTTATTATTTTTAACCCCTTGGCTTACCATGGGCTACTAACGTCTTGATGCTAGACTGTTCCTTCTTTCCATCTTCTTGAAAAGGAGAAAAAAAAATGTTTTTAAAGCCAAGATATCTGGACAACTAACATAAATATTTTGTATTCTGTGTCCAAATTTTCACTCTTATTGTAATTGCTTACGCCTGTACAACTTCTGAGAGTCTCCCAACCACTGAGCTATCCTTTTCTTTTAAAGCCTCAAGTATAGGATCACACCAATAATATATTATACATAAAATGCATAATGGGCTTCAAATTAACCAAGTGTGATGGTCTACATCACGTTTTCCACATTATGCCATAATAGGGGTCTCCCAATTTGATATATAATAAAATTTTTAAATGAAAGATTCCATATAGGTTTTAATATGAGAACATTTTTTTCCTAACTTTTCCTAAATTAACTTAGTTTTATTTGAAAATCAAAAAGTAAAATTGTTTAATTCTGAAAGTATTCACCTTTGAGTGTCAAGATCATAACCAGAGTTAAGATTTCCATCTAGACTTTCTATGATGCATATTTTCAAAAAGTGAGATCCTAATACAGTGGGCCTTCCGTATCCACGGGTTGGGCATTCACAGATTCAACCCACCATGGATCAAAAGCATTCAGAAAAAAAATTAAAAATACCAATGCAACAATAAAAAATAATACAAATAAAAAACAATACAGTATAACAACTAATTACATAGCATTTACATTGTGTTAGGCATTATAAGTAATCTAGAGATGATTTAAAGTATATAGTAGCATATGTGTAGATTACATGCAAATACTAAGCCATTACATAATGGATTTGAGCATCTGCAGATTTTGTTATCCACAGAATGTTCTGGATCCAGTCTCCCCGGATAAGAAAGGACAACTGTATACACCAGTTTTGATTAGTGCCTTTTTCACTTAAGAACATTTTTCCATATCCTTAAAAACTCTTCCTAAAGATTACTTTTCACAGCTGCCTAGTATTCTATCACATGGTGTTATAGTTTAATTATATTCGCCCAAAAAAGATATGTTGAAGGCATAATTCCCAATACCTCAGAATCTGACTTCATTTGGAAACAGGGTCATTGCAGATGTGATTAGTAAAATTAAGAAGTAATACTGGAATAGGGTGGGCCCTTAATCCAGTAAGACTAGTGTCCTTGTATGAAGATGGCCATGGGAAGACACAGAGACATAATGCCATGTGAAAATGAAAGCAGAGACTGGAGTGATGCATCTACAAGCTAAAGAATGCCAAGTACTGCTGGCTATCACAGAGGCTGGGAGAGGGGTAAGGAACAGATTCTCCCTCAGAGAAAGAACCAACACTGCTGACACTCTGATTCAGGACTTCCTTAAAAACTGAGAGATAAATTTCTGTTGCTTTAAGCCACCCAATTTGTGGTACTTTGTTATGGCAGCCCTAGGAAACTAATATATCAATCATTCCTCCATATGAGACATTTTAGATGTCAACTTTTCCACTATGAACTGTCAAGAATATTTTTTATATATTTTGTTTGCATTTTAGATTATTTCCACTGAACAGACTCCAAATAGAATTACTATGTTAAAATGTATAAATATTTTAAGGTTTTGATGTATACTGTAAAAATAATTTCTAAAAAGTTGTATGTTCTACAGTACTTATACAATTTTCCCTAATTCTAATAGCAAAAAAAAGAGCAATATGTAATTTAAATTTGTATTTCTATGATTAATAGTGAGAGTAAATTTTTTTCATGTTTATTAGTCATTTGAATTTTTAAATAATATATTCTAGAAGATACTTTTCATTTGCATAGAAAAATACTAATTTAATCCATTTCAAAAGACAAAAATGAACATGTATTTAAGTTACCATGAAATCTAGAATCTATAAAACCAAATTCAGGATTATAAATCTTCCAGTTATTCTATTAATCCATTTCAAAAGACAAAAATGAACATGTATTTAAATTACCATGAAATCTAGAATCTATAAAACCAAATTCAGGATTATAAATCTTCCAGTTATTCTACTTGGAAATATTTAAAAGAAATTAATTACAATCATGCAATCATTTTTCTAAACCAAAGTGGGCTGGGGGGAAGAGAAGACAAAAATATAGACATTTATTTTCCTTTCATACAAGGAAAATAAATAGGTTTCTTATAAATTGTTCATATTCCATATACTCTTATTATAGTGATTAAGATTTTCTTTTTAAATGCAACTTAATATTGGACAACAAAATATCAAATATGTTTAAGACTCAATATTGTCTTTAAAAGGCAAAGGTACATAATTTGCAGTTTCCCAAAAATAAAACACTTTCTTATTCTGATTCTTTACATGGATAAAAGCGACAAAATGAAAAAACAGAAAAGAAATTCAAACACAAACTTACGCTGGAAACTTCCTTGGCTGAAGACTTGAAATGCACTTGTTTAGGCAATGTTAGTGTTCCTTTTATAGAAATAGTAGGAGTGTCTCCATAGATAGAGGGCCAACTTAAATCTGTGCACTAAAAAAAATTAAAATACACTTTGAATTTTATAAAGGACTCTGAGAACACAAATATTTAATGTATTTCTTGAGTTAATGACTTTAGATTAAAAACTATAAAAATAAACTTTGGTCTGAAACTTCATGTTTCATCACATTAAACTAATTTTGACATTTAATATTCTAGACGTCATATCAATTTCCTTCTTGAGGTTAAAACACACATACTGCCATCATACTATAGACTTATTTTCTTAGATGCTTTATTAAATATTATTTTCTGCAAAATACCATAGAATCCTAAATTCCAAAGACAGTATTGATTGGCCCATTCTCCAGAAGAGGGCAACAGCAGATGTTTAAAATGTCTAAATATTCAATTTTGAAATAAAAGTTAGTATCAACTATACTGATTTACCTGTAAAACTGTGATCCAGATCTGCTCTACTGAAGAATTATAAAACAATTTCACATTCAGTCTCCCAAAATCTCTTTCATCTCCTGATAGGGTAATTGTATCTGAATTGTAAAAAGACAAAGATGTTTGACATGTTATGCAATCCTTCTAACCCAATTAAGCTTTGTTAACAATCCAATTTTAAGGGCACAATTGAAAAATGCTACAATTATTTCTTACAGTTTCCAATTTATAAGACAGAAATCACGCTAATGTTTTTACTGAAGTGTGAGGGGGAAGATATACTATGAAAAGCACATGCTTTAAAAATTTAACCCAATAACAGTGTCAGGGACTTAGTTAAAACTAAGAAAAACCTTTCCGAGAAGCGTTTACATGGCCTTAATATTATATGTTTCTGGAAGTTCCTTCACTAACATAGTTTAAAGCAAACAAACAAAAGACATCAAACTGCTTCACTTTTTTAAAAGAGCATTCACACCAGAACACTGAGAAACACACCATCTGGTCTGAGTATCCATTTGCTGATAACACTGCCAACAAAGATACAATCAGCATCGATATAATCATCTAGAGGTTTTTTGTTTTTTTTGGTTTTTTTTTTCCCTTTTTGTCTTTTTTACTGACCGGTAACAGGATCGCAACCCGCGGTGTCGCGCCCGTACCGGGGACTGGCAACGGGATCGCAACCCTTGGGGTTGCGCCCACACCACGCTCAGCCAGTGAGCGGGAACCGGTCTCCACATGGGATCCGAACCCTCGGTGGGAGCGCCGCCGCGCTCCTAAGCGGCGCACTCTCCAGTGCACCACCGGGCCAGCCCAGGTTTTTGGTTTTTTTACCTTATCATATATGCTTTTTTTTTTTTCTGACCGGTAAGGGGATCGCAACCCTCAGCACACTGTTATCTGCACCACGCACCGGCCATCTCTATATAGGATCCGAACCCGGGGCCTCGGCACTACCAGCGCTGCACTCTCCTGAGTGAGCCACGGGGTGGCTGGCCCTATCATATGTGCTTTTAAATTACTATTGAATAGAAACAATTCCCTTAAGAGTATAAAACCACCGGGCCGGCCCAGGTTTTTGGTTTTTTTACCTTATCATATATGCTTTTTTTTTTTCTGACTGGTAAGGGGATCGCAACCCTCAGCACACTGTTATCTGCACCACGCACCGGCCATCTCTATATAGGATCTGAACCCGGGGCCTCGGCACTACCAGCGCTGCACTCTCCTGAGTGAGCCACGGGGTGGCCGGCCCTATCATATGTGCTTTTAAATTACTATTGAATAGAAACAATTCCCTTAAGAGTATAAAAATAGAATACTTTATTCCTTACCCAGGCTTCTGTTACTCCCCTGAGAATTTTTCCTTGAGGAAGAACTACTGGGTACACTGGACAATGAATCATGTCTCTACAAATAAAATCCTTCTTTAGTCAGAAATTGTATATCAAACTTTAAGGATTTGTATACTTATGCCCCAATATCCACCCAGTATTAAACTGCATGCTAACCATTTTGACAGTGTTACTGGCCAGAATTTCCCACTTTTAGATAGTAAAGAGGAAAAAAAGCTTTTTGTGTATGTTATCAGGAAAATCTTAAACATCTTACAAGATAATATATTAGAAATCTTTTGCTGATATTGGTTTGGTTTTGTAATAAGGAGGAAGATATTACTGCTTAAGTTTCATACTTGAAAGCATTAATGAAAGTACTCTGGAAGTACCATGTTACCTAAAACCTGCAAAGCAGCAGTTATCAAAGCATGGTCCCTCTGGACCAGCAGCATCAGCATCTCTTGGGAACTTGGTAGAAACACAAACTCAGGCCCCACCACAGGGCTAGTGAATCAAAAATTGGGGTTTATGCCTGGTAATCTGTATTTTAACAAGCTCTCAAAATAATTCTGATGCATGTCAAAGAATTGTTGCTATAAAGAATTGTCTGTAAAAAATTAACTTGACTGAGAATTACTAAGAATTTGTTTTGAATATATTTCCATTTTATAAAACGTGTATTTCATGCATAAAAGAGTTCACAAGTATATATAACAGTATTTTCACAGTGCTTTTATTCTCAGTTATAGGAATTTGGGTGATATATCTTTTTATTTTGCTTATCTCTATTTTCTAATTTCAAATAATCACAACTTACTTGCACTAAAAAAGAATCATTTTTGAAAATATCAAGAAATTCTCAATTCCACTTCAACGATAGGAAGACACTGTTAATATTAGTGAATAAAGTCCTATACAACTCAGTAGAAACACTAATTTTTAATAACTAGCTGCTTGTGTTCAATAAGGAAAGTTAAATTAATAAGCAGTTTTAACTATAGCATTTTAAATTCCAACTGTTTCAAGATTCTCTGAGTGCATACCAAGTGACAGACGTAAAATTCATAAAAAACTGCCTTTTATTAGTCAACTGAGAACTTCCTAAAATAATGCACATAGGAAATGTGAAGTATTTATTCTTCAGATATTAGAATAGATATAAAATCTAGATTGTGTTGTTCCTAATGTAATTAAGACATTTCTTAATTTTTAATTTGAAAACAAATTATCACACATAATTAAATTTATATAAGTAATTTACCTGGATGAATCGCTGAGATAAACTTGTAAGATCAAACATAGATTTGCTTAGCCCAGGGGAACCAGGAAGTTTGCTGGTCCTTAAATCACAAACTACAAAGGGACATGAGAAAAGTACTTATTTTTATAGTAAAGAAAAAGGAACACTGGAATTCTACTTAATTACCAAGATCTAAATCTCTATAGGAATACATCGTGAATATTATGTGAAAATCTACATAAGACATAAAACCTTCTAATGAAATTTTTAAAAATGTTTTACAATTATTTTACTTTTGTTTGAAACAAATCAATGTTAATCAAACATTTTCACAACTACATCAAATATCTAACAGAGAAAATTCACTCTCTTGCTTACATTCCCCAATCCTTCATCCAAGAAGAATAAGAGGATGTAAGTACTTTGCTAAATGCAATTCAACTACTATTTAATGAGCACTTATAACAAAAAAAAAAATACAGAATCCCATGGTCTCCCATATTTCTAGTCTATATTTCTAGTTTCCCTCCTAAACTGTAAGATCCTAGAAGAAAGGAACTCCGTATACAAATTGTGTACAAGGGGTCTTCAAAAAATTCATGGAAAGATATGTTTTATATTTTAATTCTATTTTTCCATGAATTTCTTGAATTCTAGCAAAATGGTGTGCACACAGCAGGCCCTTAAGTAAATATTTCTTCTTTATTTTCAGTACCTCACCCTGAATTCAGTGGTTGAGATAGTTATATATATATTCAAAACTTGAAAAAGTGAGAATTTTGTGAATCAGAGATGTACACAGTAGACTGATTTAAACAGTCTCAAACATGAAATTTTAAAAGTTCTATAATCATTTAAGCATTTTCTATAATCTTTATTTATATTTCTAATCATATCATGGGTTTCTAAATTCATCATATTCTCTGAATAGAGCAGAAAAGAAAAAAGTCTGTAAATATCTGTTGTAGAATTTATGAATAGAGAGATGATATGAGGGTACTTCAAAAGTCCACGGAAAAATAGAGTTAAAAGATAATGCAAACCTTTCCATGAACTTTTGAAGCACCTTGTACATAAAATGTATACAAAATAACTGAAAACAAAACTTCTATCTAAAAAAAGGGAAAATAAAATGGAATTTGGAACTACAAGCAGACATACCTCATTAATCTTTTGATTTTTGTATTAGGTATAATACCACAGAGAAGTCAGGAAGTCTATCACAACACTTATGAAGCTTGCTTTTTTCTTATTTTTTATTTTTAAATTGCTTTTAATAATAAGAATCATTTCTTCCAGAGTTTTAGATTTAATTGAATGATTTCTAAATTTGTTAAAGAGAAACAAACACAAAGAGAAAAAGCACAAACAAATTTTCATACCTGATCCATATGGTCTCGTTGCTTCTGAACGAGGAGGAAAGCGCCGACTCAAATCAGGTGAAAAGTGCCGGTATATGTACAATGGGTTATATACATCATAGCTGGGTCCATGCTGGGATGAACCGGAAAGTTCTACCTTTCGATCCCCAAAAGAGGCTCTGGCAGATCCTGAAACAATTGTTTCTAAAGTTTTACAACATCCTTTTCTTGGAGTGTTAGCCAACAGCTGGTATACCCAAAGCAAAGGGAAATTTTTTTGTCTCAGTACTAAATCACATACTTTTGATATCCAAAAAATCAGCACACACTTATGGAGTTCTAACTGTGTGAAATATTATGCCAGGGATCAGCCAAGAACCCTGCTCTCAAGACAAGCTGATAAATTTTTGGCATATATTATATGATCTGAGTTTCCTCTTATTTTTCTACTTACATATAGAACATCTTTTAAATATAAAGATGATCATTTTTTCAGAGACACCCTCTTCAAGAAAACACAGAACATTTATAAAAATTGACTACACGGTGAGATACACTGAACAATTCTCAAATTTGAAAGGACTGAAATCATACAAAATGTTTTCTTACCACACAATGCAATTAAGTTGGAAATCAAATAACAAAAAGATGAATAGAAAATATTTATATGGGAACATAAAGGAATAAGAATAATCAAAAAGATAATCATTTAGAAGAAAAACAAGAATGAACAAAATATTTGCTCTAATGGGTATTAAGAATAGAATATTGGGGAGCTGGCCCGTTACTTGGTTGGTTAGAGTGCAGTGCTATAACACCAAGGTCAAGAGTTTGGATCCCAGTACCGGCCAACAACAACAACAACAACAACAACAAAGAAAAAAGAATTTAATATTGGCACAATGACAGGAAAATAGATAAGAGAAACAAAATAGAAGGCCCAGAAAGAAATACCCATTTTATGGGCACTTGATTTATAATCAAGGTGGCATTGCACAGCAGTGGGGTAAAGGGCCAACAACAACAACAACAACAACAACAACAACAACAACAACAACAACAACAAAGAAAAAAGAATTTAATATTGGCACAATGACAGGAAAACAGATAAGAGAAACAAAATAGAAGGCCCAGAAAGAGATACCCATTTTATGGGCACTTGATTTATAATCAAGGTGGCATTGCACAGCAGTGGGGTAAAGGATCATATTTTCACTAAAAGGTGATAAGACAATAGGACATCAACATGGAAAAAAATAAGACTATTCAACCAAACATATTCACAAAAAATTAATTCCAAGGGGAATATAGATCTAAACTAAATCTTAAAGGCAATCCAATAAAGCTTCTATATTTAAGTTAATTTATAAGAAAGTTTTCATGAACTCTGAACAGGAAAACACTTCTTAAATGAAACATAAAAAGCATTAATCATAAAAATATTCTAATGAACTGAACTACATTAAAATTTCCATTTGTCAAAAGACTATTTAAGAGAGTGCAAAGGTAATCCATAGAATGGGAGATGTGTGCAACAAACATAACTGACAAAGGGCTTGTATCCATAATATATAATGAATCCCTACAAATCAATAAGAAAAGGACAGACAAGCCTATATATAAACTGGCTTAAGACTTAAACAAGCACTTCAGAAGAGAGGCTGTCAATCTTACTATTTATAAGGGAAATGAAAGTTAAAACCCCAATGAGATACCATTACACACTCACCAGAATGATTAAAACTAAAAAGAAGAACAATAGCAAGTGTTGACAAGAAAGTACAGCAATGTACTGTCGGTGGGAATGATAAGTTGATGCAATCACTGTGGAAAACAGTTTGGCAATTTCTTCTAAAACTGAAGATATTTATACCCTATTACCCAACAATATTCTAGACATATACATGAGTGAAATATTTGTACATGTGCACTAAGAGACATGTATAAGAATGTTCATAAGTATCAATAGCCATCATAGCCCAAAACTGGAAAAACCTTAAATGTCCATCAACAGTATAATAAACAGTATTATTTACTTATTACATAAAAATACCTTACAGAATGCTACACAGAAACAATACTGCACATGCCTTTTAGAATATAGAATAAATTATAATATACAATTACTGCACAGATATGAAAACAAACTAAAACTGCCATATGATCCAGCAATCCCACTGCTGGATATATACCCAAAGGAATAGAAATCATGTTGAAGGGATACCTGCACTCCCATGTTTATCGCAGCTCTATTTACAACAGCCAAGAGTTGGAACCAACCTAAATGTCCATCGTCAGATGACTAGATAGAGAAAATGTGGTATATATACACAATAGAATACTACTGTACCATAAAAAAAATGAAATTCTGCCATTCACAGCAACATGGATGAACTTAGAGAAAATTGTGTTGAGTGAAATAAGCCAGGCACAGAAAATACCACATGTCCTCACTCATAAGCAGGAGCTAAAAAAAATAAACAAATAAAAAGAAAAAGAGAAAGATACAACAATCACAATACTACACTGAACTTTCAAAAGGAGAGAACAGAAACGAGGGCAACAGAGGTGGGAAAGGGGTAGGCGGTAAGGGAGGAATTGGTAAAGAGCCACAAAAATCTATTACATTGTATATTGTTGAGTATACCAATTATCATGATTTGAATATCACATGTCACATACGGGTATTAATATTCAACTCTGTACCTCACAGATATGGACAACCAACTATGTTTCAATAAAAAAAAAGAAAATTGTAGCAGAGAAATGAAAGATAAAAAAAAGAACTAAATGTAAATTCTATAACTAAAAAATGCAATGTCTAAAATAAAAAATTCACTGGATAGGCTTGACAGCAGAATGGAAGTAACAGAGGAACAAGACAGTGAACTTGAGAATAGATCAATTTATCCAACTTAAAGCATAAAGAGAGGGAAAAAAATTGAAAAAAATATATAAAAAGAACAGTCTCAGAGACCCACAGAACAATATCAAAAGGTCCAATGGCCAACATATGTGTAACTGGAAACCCAGAATAAGAAGACAGAGGAGATGGGGCATAAAAAAATATTTGGACAAATATTCTAGATCTTTTAAAAAATTTTTAAATTTATTTTTTCCTCATTGTACATGTTTATGGAGTACAGTTTGTTGTTTCAATACATGCATATATTGTATAATGATCCAATCAGAATAGTTAGCATATCTATCACCTAATCATTTCTTTGTGATTCTGACATTCAAGATTCTCTTTTCTGGCTATCCTGAAATACATAATATGATATTATTAGCTATTGTCACCCTAGGGCACAAGAACTTATTCTTCCTGTCTAACTATAATGTCATACTGGTGTACCAACCTTTCCCCAGCACCCCCTCTCTCCTCCGTTTCCCTGCCTCTGGTAACCACTATTCTACTATTTTTCTTTTTTCCTTCTCTTTTTATTTTTCTTAATTGACCCATGATAATTATGTATTTTTACAGAGTATAATATGATATCTGGGTACATTCATACTCTGTGCTATGATCATATCAGGGTGCTTAGTATATTCATCACCTCAAACATTTGTCACTTCTTTGTTTTAGGAACATTCAATAGAATCTTGACTAGCTAGTCAAAGACACAAACATTGCAGATCTTGGTAAGGGTTTGGATTTCACTGATATATACATTTGTCAATATTCAACAAATTACACTCATAATTCAACAAATATAAACAAAATTCAACAAATACACACCTATGCAATTCATTGTGTACATCAAAAGAAAACTGTAAACATACCACTGAACTCCAGTAAATGATATATATGTTCAAGTATTTAGACGGAAGTGTATTGATATTTTCAATTTGTACTGAAATGTATCCCCTTCCCAAGAAAAGGGGACTAATAATCGATAAAAAAATGAACAGGTGGACATACATGTGATTAAAGCAAGTATAATAAACTGTTAGTGTAAGAATTTATGTGATGGACATACTAATATTCACTGTTAAGGTCTTTCAACTTTTCTGTATGTTTGAAATTTTTCTAATAAAATTTTGAGGGGAAAAAGCCACTGTGACTGACAGTGTTTCAATGAAGTAACACAAATTTTTTTTTTTTTTTAAAAGAGAGCTACACTTTGTTTCATCTTATCTTCATTATGCCATTGGCCACTACAACATCAGCCAAAATTCAGCCAGGGAATCTGCTTCATTCAAGTATCTATTTAGACTGGGAAGTACAGACTGGTGAAGAAAGAAGGGAAGAAAGAATTGCTTGTTTCCTTACTTCTCATTGCACCAAATGTTAGAAAACAGTAGATAAGAAACTACGTTTTCTATGCTTGCTGATCAGACACAGGTTGAGCATGCCCAATCCAAAATTTCGAAATGTTCCAAAATACGAACCTTTTTGAGTGCTGACATGACACCACAAGCAGAAAATTCCACACCTGACGTCATGTGACAGTTGCAGTCAAAACTTTGTTTCATGTATAAAATTATTAGAAATATTGTATAAAATCGTCTTTAAGCTATGTGTATAAGGTGTACATGAAACATAAATGAATTTCATGTTTAGATTTGGGTCCCATCCCTAAGATATCTCATTACGTATAGGCAAATGTTTCAAAATCCAAAACACTTCTGGTCCCACGCATTTCGGATAGGGGAACAAAATAATTCCTGTACAAAATAATTCCTTTACTTTTCTTTCTAGATATGTGAAGGATAACTGAGGTGTTATATTATTCCTTTTAAAAAGGCCCAATCTACACACAAATGTCTTGCATTGCGCTCAGATCGCATAACAGGACCTTTCAAAAATACCGTCCCATTAAGTTTTTCTAAAGAAAGAGCAAAACATGTAAAAAGCAAAATACAAAATTTTTGTATTGACATAAAAGAGCAAAATAACAGCAATAGCAGCATTTAAATGCTGCGTGTTGATTTTTAAATTCTGCCTTTTTATTGTTTACCTTCAAGTTCTTCCAGATGTGATGGAGTTCCTTGTATCCTGGGTTGAATATAAGATAACTTAAACTTGGGCACCACGAACGGTACTTGTTTCCTATCAGATGGTAATTTGGAAAGCAAATAATCCTCTGTACAGCCAACCTGAGGCTTTACAGAAACAGAAGTCAATGGAGGTTTACAGACAGTAGTACTTTGACTATTTGAGACTGCTGCCTTAAAGTCTCTTTCCACAGAAACTGCAAATGGAAGAAGAAAAAAAGAAGAAAAATGTCACAAATATACATATAGATTACACATAATAATCTAAACCTAGCATGCTTTGATACTTATTTAATAATTTTAGAAAAAATTCCTGATACAGAAACTACTCTTGAGTCCTATCAAACATTTCTGGAATCTACTTTAATTTTGTCCAGCCAATGTTTGAACAATTAATACTCTATTGCCAAAGTATATTAACTTACTCTAATGGTAAAGTCAGTTTTTAAAGAGTTTCATTCCCACAAGAGTTTATAGATGGAAAACAAGTTTATTTTGTAGTTAAGTCCACAATGCTTTCAAGTAAGATCTAGTCATGTAAAAATACTGTCAACAAAACAATTCTTGTTGTCAGTACTACTGTGTAATATCAACTTAATCACATAAAGCAATTTTGAAAAGAAGCTGAAGGTCTACAAAAATCTCTGCCAAAACACAAAATAAAATGCACATTGACGCTAGATACACATCACAATAGCAATTCTCCCTATCTTAGCTTCTATGACCCATTTTATCCATTCTCTATAAGCTGCGTGACTTAAGATGGGGAGGTAAGAGACACTCTCAGAGTTAATTTTTATGTATATTTAGTATTGTCTGTAGACTGAATGAAAATACAACTACTACTGTGTAGGAATTTATGAAATGTTTCAATGTAAAAAAGAAGCCTACATTCTCAAATATACTAAGAAGCTCTACTCTAGGCTAAGAAATATAAGAGAGAGACAGAGAAAAATAAAGTTCCAACCATAGCCCTGAAGAAATTTTTAAAAACCATGTGATAGAAAGGGAAATCTGCAGGGGTCCTTGAAAAATATGAGTCTTATAGGTCCCTTCCCCATATGTCACTCATTCACAAAAGGCATTCTTAAAATGTACTGTACATAAATTAGAAATTGTCTTTATTTAAAAATCAAAACATTCATCAGAGTATGTTCTCCCCAAACACACTTCCTCTCTGTCATTACCTGTAGTGCCACCTATAGTGCCCATCCACCTATAGTGCCCATACCCAAGTCTCACCTTCTCTGGCTTCCTTCTTCCCACCCAGCTTGCTAAAATCCTGTTCAGACCTCCATGGCAAATGCCATCTTTTTTATGATGATGTCCTGGGGTGTATCCTGGGTTGGATTCATCTCTCTCCCCAGAACTTGGAATTCTGGAATACTTACCTAGTGTGTCCTATGTTTCTGCCTCCCCCGTGAAGAGAGGATACATGCCTAATTTATCTTTATATTATAAAATGCCACAAAGAAGTCATTAAATAAACTGTTTGCTGAAATCAAAACCAAACTCACAGTTATCCTTTTCTGTTTCACCATAGAAACATCCTCTACAGCAACTCTTTATAAATTCTGCTGCCATTACATTCAACTTCCAATATCCAGCAAAAGATACAAATTTTCAATTTTTATATTAGTCTGTTGGTAGAACAGAAAACAAGTTAAAATGACCGTGCTTAATGCCATTAGATATCACTAAATAAATCATATTATCTGTCTTTCTAAGATATGAGGGCTCTGAAGCAAAAATATTTAAGAGGAAGATAGATTTTTGTTCCCATAATGTAATTTTGTTTAACCTAAGATCCTCATGTTAGTAAAATGACATGCTTAAGAATTACTAAATGAACAATCTCAGTGTTAAAATCTGAAAAAAAGAAAAATCCCACTCTTAATTTTCTCTTTCACCTAAATCTGTGTCCAAGCAAAATGTGAAAGAAAATATCTAGCACTCATAAAATAAGTGTGAGAAAAATTTTACTTCCTCCAGATCAATTATCTTGGTAATCCAAAAGCTCTATAAGGGGACAATAAACATGTAATTACATACTTTGAGTTATTTTAATCTTTAGAATTACACTAACAGAAAAGTACAGTTATCTCTGGGAATCCATGGGTGTTTGGTTCCAGGACCCCCCAGGGATATCAAAATCCATGGGTGCTCAAGTCCCTTATATAAAATGGCACAGTTCTTGCATATAATCTATACAATCCTCCTGCAGATTTTAAATCATTTTTAGATTACTTATAATACCTAACAGAATGCCTAAACATCACTTCATTTGCTACATAATACTGGGCAAGTGGCAAATTCAAGTTTTCCTTTTTGAAACTTTGTGGAATTATTTTCTTAGTATTTTCAGTTCACAGTTGGTTGAATCAGGGATGTGGAACCCATGAATTTGGAGGAGGGCCAACTGTATATTTTAAACACACACACAAAGATACCACAAATAAGATACAGTACAAATAGAGGGAGTCTGTTTTATATTCAGGAACATAAAATTGTGTAAGAACTTCATGTCCAATTTCCCACCTTAGTGTCAATGCCTTTGCTCAAAATGAACTCTCTGCATTCATGCCTAGTTAAACTCCATACATTTTTTATGGGAAATTTTAAACACATGCATAAGAAAACAGAATAGTATAACAAAACCCCAATCACCCAGTTTAAACAATTATCAACTCATGGTAAATCTTATTTCACCTCTACCTCCCCATTTACTCTGTCCTCTGGCTTATTTTGAAATAAATTCCAGTCATATAGTTTCATCCATAAACACTTAAGTAATAATCTCTAAAAAATGTGGCAGAAGGACTCAGGAGTTAACTTCAAGGGGCTCTCACTGGCTGAAGATGGATCACTTCAAGCCTTAAAACAAACATTTGTAGTGGATATTACAAATGGACATATCAAATATTCCTAAAGGGTACTCCTTTTCTTTTAACTTAACCCTAATAGCATTATCACATATAAAAAAATTAACACCATCGACTACTCAGTCCGTTTTCAAATTGCCCCTGTCGTCTCAATTTTTTTCATAGTTGCTTCATTGAAATCAGACCAAAATTTGGATTGTTTCATCTTTCGCTATCAGAAATAGTGCCACAGTAGTTTTGTGCGCACGTATTTCTCAAGTATTTTTCAATATATATCTGTAAGATAGATTCCTAGAGACAGGGCTACTGGGTCAAAAAGTGTGTATGTGTAATTTTGCTTGTACTGCTAAATTTCTTCCTGAAGCTATACTATTTCACATTCCCAATAGCAATGTATGAGAGTATCTGTTTCAGTCACCAACAAAATACGTTATCAAAATGTTGGACTTTTGCCAATGTTGCAAAAGAAATTATACTATGTATTGTTTTACTTTGCATCTCTCTTATTGTAAGAGAGGTTGAGAATCTTTTCATATAAGGATAATCTGTGTTTGTTTCTATGAATTCTCTGTTAATTATCTCCTTCCCATCTTTTTATAAAGCTGTTGGTCCTCTCCAGTTTTAGAAGTTCTTTATGTATTTCGGAAATTAACCCACTGTCCATGATATAAGTGACAAACATTCTCCCAGTTTGTCATTTGTCTTTTTACTTTGATTATGGTGTTTTCTGCTATGCAAAATGTGTACACATATGCAAACACCCATGAATACTTGTGTGTGTGTATGCACATACACACATATACACATAGTTCGTGTGTAAGGGTATGTGTATATATATTAAAAACATATATATATAAACATACATATGTATCACATTATCTATGTTTTTCCTTTTTGATTATGAACTGAGTAATAGAAGTTTTCCCCATATATACGTCATAAAGTAATTTACCCATGTTTTCTTCTGCACACATACACATAGTTCGTGTGTAAGGGTATGTGTATATATATTAAAAACATATATATATAAACATACATATGTATCACACTTATCTATGTTTTTCCTTTTTGATTATGGACTGAGTAATAGAAGTTTTCCCCATATATACGTCATAAAGTAATTTACCCATGTTTTCTTCTAGTATTTAGCATGGTATTATTTTCTATATTGACATCCCGGTGTACGGTATGAGAAACAGATTCAAACCTACCTTTTCCCAATTGGTTACCCCAGTATTACAAACACCACGTATTAAGAATTCCATACTTCCTCAACTGATATTGGGATGTTTCCTTTATTATACACTAAATTTCCATATGCAACTGGGTTTAATTCCTGTACTTCATATTCTCTTCAATTGGTCTGTCTAATCCTGTACCAATACCACATTGTTTTAATTTTAAAGGCTTATAACATGTTTTAATATGCAGCAGGGCTAGCCATCCTTACTGCTCTTCATTTTCAGCATTGTCTTAGCTATTCTTGCTTGTCTGTTTTTGCAAATGAACTTTATAATTAGCCCTAGAAGGAAAAAATCTGATACTTTCCATTGGGATCATGATAAACTTATAAATTATTTTAGAAAAACTGCCATTTTTAAGGATGTTGAGTCTTCCTACCTAGAACATGGTATATTCTTTGCATTTGTTCAAGTCTATGTTTATGCCTCTGGGAGTTTTTATAGTTATCCTCACACAAATTCTGAACATTTCTTGTTAAGTGTATGCCTGTATAATTTGCTTGGCTATCATAAATAGCATCTCCTCTTTCATTATATCTTGTAACTGATTTCTATTTTTATGTACAAATTTTCAAAGACCCTGTTCATCCCAGTACATCAGAGGAAGCACTCCTTAACCAACCAGATCAAAATAATTTTCTCTCATCTCTAAATGTCTAGTGTATTTTTTTTTAAAAGGTTAAACATTTTTCTCAACATTTCATGACATCTTGTTCTACCTCTCCTGCTAAAATACAAACTATTAAAAAACAATATTGTACTCACTTTCTGCTTAGCATTCAGCACCCTGTATGGTGCTGGGAATACAGTTGGAACTCAGCAAATAACTAACTGATAAATAAGGAAACAAAGTACAACAACAATCTCCTAAAAAAAAAAAAATCACAACATACTCATCAAATCACATTTCTGACCCCAACTGGCTTGCAAATACTTAACATTAATCATGAGAGGAATGTGGGAGGATTAGTTAAAAATGACCACTACTTCTAAGAGAAAAGTTCTCAAAATTGATGGCCTTGAGTCACCCAAAATGAGTTGGGGAAGATGGGGGAAGGATGTAGAAAGAGAGAGAAGTTTATATGAACAAAATATGAGATCTGATTAAAGTGCACACCCAGGAATATACTGAAGGGAAAGATGGTTTAAAATTGAACACATGGGGGCCGGCCCGGTGGTGCACTGCGATAGTGCGCCGCTTGGGAAGCGCGGCGGCGCTCCCGCTGAGGGTTTGGATCCCACATACAGACCGGTTCCCGCTCACTGGCTGAGCGAGGCGCGGGAGCAACGCCGAGGGTTGCGATCCCGTTGCCGGTCCCGGTCCGGTACGGGGGTGACACTGAGGGTTGCGATCCGTTGCCGGACACGGAAAAAAACAAAACAAAAAAAAAATTGAACACATGGATATTTCCACTTTGGGCCAAATGGAATAATAGGGTCCAGATTTAACAAAACAACAAAAAAATTGAACACATGGATATTTCCACTTTGGGCCAAATGGAATAATAGGGTCCAGATTTACCCTACCACCTGAAAAACAAACAAAATATATAAATAACCAGTTTTCAAGACACTGGCCATTGGGTAACAAAGAACTGAGAAACAGGAAACAAAAGAGGTGAGCCCTACATCTTACTGTCTTGAGGGAGTTTCCAGGCCATGGGAAAGGAAAAGTTACCCAGGCAAAGCCCAGCAGATTCTCTGAATCTGTAGGTGAATTCCACTGTGATCAGAGAATTTATTATGTATGATTTCAGTATTTTAAAATTTTTGAAACCTGCTTTGTACCACAATATATGGTCAATTTTGATAAATGTTCCATGTACATTCGCAGCTCTGAGTGCAGTGTTCCATGCATGTCAATTAGGTCATTTTTGGTCATGTTAAAGTCTTCTGTAACTCTTGCTAATTTTTTTCCTGCTTCTTCTGTAAAGTACTACAAGAGATGTGTTTAAAAGAAAACTTCAACTATGACTATAGATATATCTATTTCTCCTAACAGATTTGTTTTACATATTTTGAGACTAACTTATTAGGTGCATACAAATTTAAGCTTATTAAATAATATATCTCTTAATCTCTAGTAACGCTTCTCACCTTAAAGGTGGCTTTGTCCAACATAACTAGAATGAATTTCTTTTAGTTAATATTTGTATGTTATATGTTCTTTCCATCATTTGATTTTCAACCTCTTTGTGTTATTACATTCAAGGAGGCTTTTATAAGCATTATATAGTTGGATTGTGTTCTATTATCCATTCTGACAATCTTGTATCTTACTTATATTTTAATTGTATTTAGTCCAATCATATAAATTTAAAACTGTTTTAACTTATTGGTGATTTAAGCCTTTTGTCATTATGGTGACTTTTTATCTCTAGATATATTTGAGTTTAAATCTATCATTTTATCTTGCTCTTTCTATTTGTCCTACTTGTCCTCTGTTTCTTTTTCTTTCCTGGCATGGCTTCCTTTGGACTGACTGCTTATGATCTCCATTTTTTCCCTCTAATAGAT